TTTTTTTTTTTTTTTTTTTTTTTTTTTTTTTTTTTTTTTTTTTTTTTTTTTATAAAATTAATCTAGAGTTATCTGAAGTATATATATATATATATATATATATATTATTTTGGACTCAACCTAAATGGACATGTAATATGTAATGATGACTAATGTGGAGGAAGGAATGGAAAGGCATTGTAATCTTAAAACCATATGATCCAAACTCGGGACATCAAATCTTGGCTCAGACGTAGCTTTTGGCTTCGTTCCACTGTTGAACTTGAAAGCAAATGGAAGAAGGGTAAGTAAGAGAGGGATTTTTGTGAGTGATAGGAACTTTCTACTTTCAGTTTCTTTCGTGGTTCGATTTGTTCATCAATGAACTATGAGGTTAGGATTTCGCAAGTTTCTTTGAGGAATTTCATCAAACAGGTTCAAGATCTGAAGTAAATTACCTTTGGCGGAATCATTTCCTGGTGTTGTTTTGAGGTAGTGAGCAGCTCCTATAGTCATGGCATCCGATCACCACCCTCACCGTCTCCACCGCCTCCTCCTTGGCGTCGATGCGACGGCGCCGCAGTCCAATGGAACCAGAACCAAAAATTCGTACAGCAACGAAGCGAATTTCGACACGAACATGGTGATAATCCTTGCCGCGTTACTCTGCGCCTTGATTTGCGCTCTCGGATTGAACTCAATCGTTCGATGTGCCCTCCGCTGTACTCGGCGGTTCACCTTCGAGAACGGTGGCGGCTCCGCCACGCGCCTCACTGCCAGAGGGCTGAAGAAAAGCGCATTACGCCAAATTCCTGTCGCTGTTTACGGGTCGGAGTCGGGTAAAGGGATCCGAGAAACGGATTGCCCTATCTGCCTTGGGGATTTCATCGTCGGTGAGAAAATCAAAGTTCTCCCAAAATGTAACCATGAATTTCACGTTCGATGTATCGACACCTGGTTGGTTTCCCACACGTCGTGTCCGACATGTCGTCAATCGCTTCTCGAACAACAGACAAATCCCCAACCTGCGGAACCGGAAGTCGGAAACGGACCCGCCGGCAATTCATCGGCCGGCGGCCAAGGTGAGATATCGATAACTGTAGATGAAATTAGCTGATTTCAAGGGTTTTGCATTAGCATTTGCACATAAATATTCTTTATTTGTTTGCAGTTCTTAGCTCGTTTCTTTTTTTAAAATCATTTTGCAATAATCTGAATTATAATATAATTATTAGCTGCAAATAATAATCTGAATTATAATATAATCATGGAAGCATATGGTAATTGTATATATAGTTATTATTATTAAGCTTTTTCTCGAAATTTTATAATCTTAGGCACATCAAATTTACAATATAATACATCGTTACTATGTATATTAATTTCTTCTATAAAATTGCCTACACCAAAATTTACCATAAACTTACCTAATCTCCATCATTTCATTAATTTTTTTTATATTAAATTAAAAATTAAGAAAAATCCTACCAAAATTCAAGGATTGGTTTGATAGAGGGTTCTTATCTTAACTTTCCTCTCTGTCATATCTAAAAAAAAAAAAAAAAAAAAA